CTGAGTGTTTTATGTGCTGCAGAACAGGAACCTGCTGTAAAACAGCACTTATGCTGAGTCAGGCTTGATTTTTATAATCTTTTCCTGCTAAATGAATAAATCAAATATCTGAGTCACTAGAGATCTTTTGGCAAAGGTACACAATTCTTCCAAAACACACTCTCCTATTTGGAGTTTTGTTAATGGTATTGGAAAGTAGTCAAATGGCATTAAAAATCTAAACAATGTAGTCACTGCTGGCTTTGGTGCACACTGTCAGAATTTTAAACTCTAAGCCTAACTTATCTCATTTCCCCTTTTTTCTACCCTGTTTTCTAATTAACTTTTTGCCAAATATTTTTGCCAAAATTTTTGCCTTGTCTATGTTTCCATGCTTCTTCTGAGCAGTGCTTCATTACTGCTATAGGCCAGACCCGTGACGCTTCTAGAGTTTAGCTTGTGTTTCTGTAATGTTGATCTATTTAAAGACAGGGCTGTTTTTTTATTTCATTTACTCCCATATGTTTCCTCAACCAATTAACCAATACTTAGTTTAACAGGGTAATTTAACTGGTGTTTTATAACACATCTGGTAAAATGAAAAATAAAATTTGACAGATTGGGTTAAAATAGAAACCAGCTAAATTTTTTATTATTGTTATTATTATTCTGCATATCAGTAAAATCCTATTGAATTAATGTCACTTACTGATTGTAATAAACTAGATTTAAATAGAACTCAACTTCTCGTCCGTCCTTTTTTTACTGAATTGTAGACTAAGTATTAAACATACTAAAACTGCAGCAGAAAGACCTCTGTATGTGTATGTGTGTGTGTGTGTGTGTGTGTGTGTGTGTGTGTGTGTGTGTGTGTGTGGTGGGGGGTTGTACTTGATTTAGCTACAGAGTGAGAACCATGTTAGGTTTTGAATCAACAAAGTGAGGACCTTTTCCTGGCCCTCACTTTATTAGCCGCTCTGCTGTGCTTTACTAGTTAGGTTCAGAGGTATGGTGTGAATTAAGTTTTGGTTCAGGTTAGGGTAATAGACTAGTAATGGTTAGTTTTAAGGAAAATGCCTGGGTTATGCATAAATACTGTCCGGTATTTTTTACCTGAGACTTGAAAAACAACAACCCAACCAGACATTTAGACAAAGACAATCAGAGACCGGTAAAGTTTAAATGATACACTTTGCGCAAAGGGGAGAAGTTCAATGTCCAACTTAACATCAGTTGGGTACAAAGAAGTTCTAACGTTTTGCGGACG